GTTTTGGTGGTGTTAAGGGCAAGCGTAGGCCTCAGTAGCCTCATGCCACCAGACTTGCCGATATAAAAATCTGTGATGGCAATGTTGGGAGGTCAGGGCCCCAGGACGAGAGAAATGGCCACACCCTGTGATGGGAGAGACTGCCTGTGTGTTTGGTGCTTTGCTGTGAGGGCTTTTCCTGATTCTCTGAAATGAGCAGGACCCTCCCCACCAAGTGTGTGCTGTCACTTCCTACCTGGTAAATTCCACAGAGTGTGAGACTCGCAGGAAGTGGGAGAAGGCGATTCTCTGTGACATTTCCATGGCTTCCAGAAGACAGAAAGTTTGTGACAGGGAAGACAGGCCCACTCTGGTTCCCAGTCAGGAGATCGGGATTTTGAAGACGCAGGGGGCACATGGAATGAAAAAAGGAGGAAATTGTTGAAAGGAGAGAGAGCTGAAGTTCTCGGTTGAAATTGCAGTCTTCAACCTAATACCACGGAGTGAAAGTATTAGGATTTCATCCGTGGGATCATGCAGTGGACTGCTTTATGATCCTACTTCCTAAAAAGAGGGATAATCTGGAGTCAACCCCAAACACAGCTTCACAGAGAAGTTCTCCTATTTCTCCTGTGTCTTCCAGTAGGGAATAACAGTGAACAAAAAGGAAATCTTGTTTTAAAAATAAACCCTGAAATGAGCTTGCAAGACTTCCAAGATCTACAAGAATCTTTTTTTATTTGACCTGGCTTTAAGTAATTATTTTTACCCTTGATTTTTCTTTTAAAGCATTTTAAAATCGTTTTGACTCTACCAAGAGGGCATGAAACTACATCAGGAATCTAGAAAATGTTGCCTCTGAAAAGTTGAATTCTGTTTAGTTTTAGCATGTTTGTGATTTCTAGAAAGAATTGAAGATTTTTTAAAAATTCCATCAACAAGTTAGACTGCTTAAACTGTGAAGAGTTTCCATTAAGACTTGAGAAAATGCACATTATCTTTTTTTTTTTTTTTTCACCTAAAAATTAACAGCTGCTTCACTGTCTGGGTGCCCACCTGATGCGAAACAAAGGGTTTCTGAGAAACATGCCCTAAAACTTTGGGCTGATTTAATATTAAACAATTACTATGGAGCTGAGAAAATCAGCCCCTTTATAGATGCTGGTGAACAGAGGATTCTCTTTATATGTATAATAATAAAAACCAGACTTGGCAAGAGCTCACAGGTCTGCAGTGACTGTGCATTTCTTTGTATTCCCTAAAATAAATGAGGCAGGAGGTGATTTTTTTTACTGGTGTTTCACATGTCATGAAGTTAGAACTGCAAATTGACAAACAAATTAGAAAGGTCCCTAGTGTCCTGCAGGGTCACTAAGGAATTACGGGGTTTGGGTAGGTATCCTTGGAGTCTGCTTGTAGGATAGTCTAGAACGATCATGAGATCTTGCACTTGAAAATAACTCTCAACGAAAAGATGCAAGACTCTTTTCCAGAGGAGTCATCTCTGGAGCTTAAAAAAAAAAAAAAAAAAAAAGTTTTGTTCTCTTAGGAACATAGCCCTCTTGGGGATGACCTCAGTCCTCAAATTACAAATGCAAAAAACAAAAGGCCATGTTTACAGAATTTTTTTTAAGAGGAAACTGATCTGCAAGAAAGAAAAAAAAAATACAAAATACATGCATCAGGATAAATGGGAGCCTGATAATATAAATTAATTGTATTCTCTATTGAACTTAATAAAGTCAAGGAGATGACAATTTGGAAGACCTGAGTTTTGCTGACAGCTCCACCGGACCTCATGTCTCCTTACAAAAGGAATATTTTTACATTTCTGAGCCTCGGTTTCCTTATCAGAAAAATGAGGGCGTTTGCTTTTACTTCAAAATTCTTATTTTATGATTCACTAAAGTGTTGCAGTAAACGCAACAAACTCCCAAACATTGGGCTCTGTACCTTGTTGAATTAATCTTGGCTTTATTGACGGCAGAGCATAGCTACCAGAAAGGACATGACACGTATATTATAAAGGGCATCCTTTGCTAAGCCCTGCAGAAATGCGCAAGTTTTATGCTCTTTTCAATTTAGTCTGTTTCTCACATACTACTCAGTATGCTGCGTACTGTGCCTTGTGTAATGTCTTTGGTTTCAAAACTGTTTCTCTAGTGGGGGAGTGTTATGAGGACCCTGGCTTATTTAGCGCTGAGTCTGGGAATCTGTGGGTAGGGTTCTTCCCCTGACCCCTTCCTCAGCATCTGTCTCCATCCTGCAGCACTCAACTATGCATCAGAACAGAGACCGAAAAGCAAACAAGCATTGCACCTGAACGTGTGAGCAGCAAAGTCAACAGCTATTAAGGCCTCCTGTTTTAATTTCCCATAATCATCAATTTTCCTCTGCCTTCTGGCCCCTGCCGTTTCTCCTTGCCCCTCAGACTCCCATCTGCCCTTCAACCCTTCTTCTTCCGTTAACGTTTATGTCATTTACGTCTTCGGTACCTCTGGTTTATTCTGGAGAGAAACAGATGACACAGAGGGTTGAAAATCCCAGAAGTGTTGGTGCATTTATGGAATTTTTTGTCCTCCACACTGAGGAGGACCCAGGTGCACGTACACCCCTTGCTCCTCTGTCCTTGTGAACCCCATTTTCATACCATTAGAGGGCACCCATATATTTACGTCTCACAAGATGAGTAGAAGAAAGGAACTAAATGATACCAAATGACTCCCATGCCTGCATTAGGATCTTTGCATGCCTGATTTGCATCTTTATGCGAGTCCTATTGCTAAGTATTGTGACCCCATTATAAAAGGAAGTTTAAAAAAGGCTCAGAGAGATAAAGTACCTTGCCCAAGGGCACACAGTAAGTGGCAGAGCTCAGAACCGAATTCCACAGACCTACAGATGTTTCCTTTCTCGAGTTCTTACTCAATTTTTGAAGAACTGAAGCTATACTTTCCACTCCTTTTAAATTCATAAAAATCACATACAGTTTTATGAAGGAGAAATCTGTTATAGGAAATTAAGGCACAATTGTACTCTATCCCAGTTTTACAAGCACGTGGTATTTTAACATTTGATAAGCATTAAGACAGACACAGACAGACACAGCAGTTGGTACAAGACCTGACTGCTTTTCTATACTACATTATAGGTCATCTTTAGGATGATAGCATATACTGGGGAAAATGAAGTATTTTTTTCTAAATTTGTTTATCCAGAAGACTCTCCTGACCGTTGAAATAATATTGCTCAGGGTGGCTCAGTCGGTTGAGCACCTGCCTTCCACTCAGGTCATGATCCCGGGGTCCTGGGATTGAACCCTACATCGGGCTCCCTGCTCAGTGGGGAGTCTGCTTCTCCCTCACATCTGCCCACCGTTCCCCCTGCTTGTGCGCTCTATTAGATAAATAAACACAATCTTTAAAAAATAATATTGCTAATTGCTGTCTACACAGGCAGACCTTCTCCAGACATTTTCTAGGGCATCACATAGATGTAATGAGAGGACATAATGATTTAGAGGGACACAGAAGAAGGTAGAAAAGTCCTCTTTCTTTTGCGCCTTTTTTTTTAAAAATTGAAGGTTTAGTGTGGTAGGTAAAGCCAAGGTTATGATGCATGTTTTGACTCAAAGAGAGATTACTGCGTATGGAGGACTCAGCATCTTGATGGCATGCGTGTCTCAGGGACCACGCCACAGTCTCACCCATTTCAAGCAGCTCTCTCCTAGGCATCCCCTACCAGCACCAAATTCCTTTCTCCCACTGGGTATTTTTGCCGTGACCTTCTGTTGATATTTTATTAACCTCTCCTCTTCGCTTGATCAGAGCTCCTGCAACATTGGAAAGCGATGTCAAAAAGCAGGAGAAATAACACCACGCGTGGCCCAACAACAACAACTTAAGCCTCTGTAACATGGGATATCTTATAACACTGTTTCTCAAAGTGGGGTTCCTGGGAGACTCGCCTCTGATTTGCCAGGGAAAAGCTAAAATGCAGATGCTTGTCTCCTGCCCTCCACCTGATCAGTCAGAATCTCAATGGTAAGAGGGAGGGATGGGTGAAAGTCAGGAATCGAAAATTTTTAGTCGTCGGGGCGCCTGGGTGGCTCAGTGGGTTAAAGGCTCTGCCTTTGGCTCAAGTCATGATCCCAGGGTCCTGGGATAGAGCCCCGAATCGGGCTCTCTGCTCAGCAGGGAACCTGCTTCCCTTCCTCTCTCTCTGCCTGCCTCTCTGCCTACCTGTGATCTCTGTCTGTCAAATAAATAAATAAAATCTTAAAAAAAATTTTTTTTTTAAATCTCTAGAGATCTCCAAATTATAACCAGTTTTATAAAATATTTTCATCTATGTTACTCTCTCGTCTTTCAGGAGCCCTCTTGCTTGGTAATTGTTAATACACAGCCATTTACGGATGAGGCCACTGGAACTTGGAGAAGTGACTTGCCTGAGGGGACACACGCAGCAGGCTGTGGCACTCTGAGCCCCTCCCCCCTCCCTAGACCGTGGGGGGTCTGCACGCACAGATGTGGGGGGGTGGGCGATAACACAGGGCTGAAATTCTTTCATGCTTTTGGTGCCATGGCTAAAAATTCATCACCAGACCCAAAGTCACATAGATTTTCTCGTGTTTTCCTCTAGAAGTTTTACACTTTTGGACTTACATTTGAGTCTAAGATCCATTCTGAATCAATCTCTTTGAAAGGTCCAACGTCTTGCTCAAAGTTCAGTTTTTGAGTGCGGATGTCTAATCGGTCCAGCATCTTCCATAGAAAAGTTTATCCTTTCTCCATGGAATGGTCTGTGCTCCTTTGTCAACGAACTTTGAAATACTTGATACATTGTTGTAAAAGCACATTACCAGGGTGCCTGGGTGTGGTTCAGTCCCTTAAGCTTCTGTTTTAGGCTCAGGTCACGATCTCTGGGTCCTGAGATCGAGCCCCCAAGTCGGGTTCCCTGCTCAGCGGGGAGTGTGCTTCTCCCTTTGCCCGCCACCCCGCCCCCCAGCTTGTACACATGCACTCTCTCTCTCTCTCTCAAGTAAATAAATAAAATCTAAAAAATAAAATGTATGTTACCTCTGTTTTTTATTTTAAAAATGCAGCCAGCTCGGTGCTGTGTTTAACGGTCATTTGCTTAAGATTCGAACCCCAGCTTCTTACAACGTGAGGCAAGTTGTAGATTAGAATATAGACCGAATATTAAGAGTAGACCACCTAAGTAAGAGTAAAGTGGAATAGAATCCAGCCATACTGAGTCTGTGGCTATGGACTGTGGATTAAAGAGAGAGAGAGAGAGAGAGAGAGAGAGAAACCAGGCTCTATGCCTGACTGCATCCCTCTACCTTTCAGGCTTCTGTCTTCTTCACTGGAAAATTAGAGGCCTGTTAACCAGACATATCCCAGGTTACTAACCTTCTGATTCTACTTCTAGGACCCCAGATCATAGGAGTGGAAATGAAATTTTTGTCCCTAGAATATTTTCCCTCTCATGGCAAGCCTCGCCCTTTTGGAACTGACTCATGAGGATTCATTGCATTTACTGGGGCTGATCTATCCATGCCTCTCGCCAGGGCTATGAGAACAGAGAACTAAGGCACATCTGCAGAGACCTGATCCTACCATCTTCTTGATTGCCCCCTGCCTGCTGTTTGCTCTGCAGACCTGTCCCAGCCTATACCCATGCAGTCTTCCCTCCTTGCCCCACATTTTCATTTTTGGTGCTAAGGTGTCTTTGTTGACTCACCCAAACTTGGGTCAGTCATATTTCTTTCTTCGGGATACAGGATCGCTCTGCCTCTCTCCTCTCTTTCTCAGTCTCTCCTTCCAACCCTCTTGGCCCAAGGCTGACCACACTCCCCTCATTCTCAAGAACACACAGCTTATCTATTTTTCATGTTTAAGGCAGCCAAAGGCTTCTAAAAGATAATGAAAACCCCTCAACCACAATTTTGAGTTACAAAGAATTTGCTAGATTTGCTGGCACAGAGAATTACAGGAATGTTCTTCTGGTACTTTGTGGTCTGGAATCCCTGGAGGGTCAGAGATCTACAGGGAACACAGACATGTGAAAATAATTACACTACAGTATGGGGGGGTGGCTGTTTTGGGGGTGAGGAAGAGAAACATTATATAATTTTTGCAGAAATGGTCAAAGGATGGTGAGGAGTTTAACAGCAACCCAGAGTGAGAGTGGGGGTCAAAGGATCCAGGCAGGGGTAACACCATTTGTAAAGGAAGGGAAGCATGAAACAGTAGGTCCTTTTGGAAGTGGACACATTAACCCTTACCCACAGATAGGTAAATTAGCCGGTTTGGCTAACTGGGCGGGTGTCCCTCCCCCAGACCAACATTCCATGTTCCATGTATATCCTCCCTGAGTCTGCTCCCTTCCTAACACTCAGGACATCAGTCTTAGACTGTCAAGATTAGGGAGATAAGCATGCTTTGCTGTGTACCATGTACAGGAGAAAACCTTAGTTACAGTGGCAGTGTAGAATGTGTGCTTGAGGGCAGCTAGAAGTGGAGGAGAGACAGGACGGCTGGAACATGATGTTCTAAGAATCCCTACATCCGGGTCCTGGGGCAGGAAGAGGACGGTGCTTAGCCCCAGGTTCTTTTTGAATCTTAGGGAGCAGCTCCAAGGAGGAGGCCATGTGCCAGGTGTGACTGTGGGGATCTGAAGGACGCATGGGGCTTGCTGTGCTCCCCTGGCAATGACAGTGTCTTCTGGGAACTTAACTGGTTGGCACCTTGATCTTGGACTGCAAGTCTCCAGAACTGCGAGAAATAAATATTTGTTGTTTGAGCCCCTGGGCTTATGGCTGACTGAGACAATAAGGAATAATCTAGAAAGAAGGGCAGGTTTTAGGGGGAGACCACAAAATCTTGTTTCAAATCTACTATGCTTCAGAGGTAGAGGGGCCCAGAAGGCACTTAGATATAGTGGTCGGAAGCCCAGCTGAGACACAGCGTGGATAAAAGGCCAAGAAAGAACAACTGAATGCACTACCAAGAGGCTCCCTAAGGGGGACATTCTTCATTCTGGCCCACAAATATTTTATAAGACCCTGGTTAGGCCCTGAAAGACAGGCAAATAGGAACCTCACAGAGCCTTCTACTTCAAGGAGCCTACCTAGTTTTAACGACAGCCATGGACTCAGGTTCGGCAGGTATGAAAAGTGTTTCTAGGAACCCTTGATGAAATAAGGTGTCAAATTCATGTCTACAAGTTTAGGTCTGTTTCCTGGGCTGTCTGTGAGTTTGACATATAGGTACGTCCCTCTTTTTTTTTTTTTCTTTTATTCTTCAGATTACTTAATGAATTTAAACCAAATTCTAAGATATGATAAACAGGACATTTGATTTCCTTGTTCTTTATTTTCCGTCCTGCTTTATGCTTAAACATGACATGATTGGCTTATAGCCATCCAAAAAATGAGGAATGCATTTTTATGCCCTAAGATCTTCAATCATAAGAATTAAAGTAGAGAGAAAAAAGAAGGTTAACATGGTTTACTTGTTTTTTTAAAGTGTAACTCCTTTTTGAAAAATATTTTTCTGTATGTTCATTAATTATTTTTAGGTAAACACTCACAGGCATACACACAATTATAGCCTCTCAATTGACTGCCACAGTTTACAGAAAAAATAGTAAATATTTAAGAAGATACTTAAAACATTTAAGCAAATAAATAAATTTTAAGAAATAAAATTTAAGAAATGTTCTAAAATGTGAATTTGTAGAACGGTATGTAGACTCCAATATTCCATTGGAAATTAAACTTTGCAATTAGAGAAAATTTCAAAATGTGAACTTAATACACATGCTTGAAGTGCTAATACACACTTTATATCATAAGAAATTGAGAAACCTTCATTTAAAGCAAATAAAGGTGTCTAGTTTCACCAGGAATTTGCATGTCACCAGTGCTTGTGGAATTAATCTCTTAGAAAATTCTTTTCTAATGTGTGAGATTTCTCATTGGGAAAAAATTCAGAACCAAGTGGATTGGCATAGAAAATAGGTTCTTGCATCTCTCTATTTAAACATTTTAAGTTTAATTCCCCTTCAGTTACATTTTAGCTACTCAAATATAAGTGACACGTTTTGTTCTTCTTTCCACAGAAACTGGTGTGTTTACTTTTATGGACTCAGAGGATCTTTTCAAATTAACTTCAATTTTTAACAACCTTTTTTTCATATCCCATGTGTGAATTTACTGTGGAGACTTATGAATGATGAAACTGCCTTCAGCGGCCTACTGGTGAATTGCTTTGCTTAGGTGAGTATAGAAAACTTTTGGCAATGTGGTTCAGGCCCGAGTTTTACCACCTAGGCAAAAGTTTTTAGAGCAAGCCAGGATATGAATCAGTATGAAGGAGGCACTTGAACACGATCCACACTTTTAAAAATTCACTGAAACTTTGAGAGCATTTTCAATGAAGTAGATACGACTGCCGTTTGTCTCCCTTGAACAAATTAATTATCTTTTAAAGTATCGATTGGATCAATGCTCCAAGTGTTACAATCCTAACATCTTTTGGGAAATGGTTCTAATTAATATAATTAATATTTTAGCAAGACTCATGGGTCATAACTGAAAGAAATCATCTGGGTCTGAAGAATGCCTACTGAGGACAGCCCTGTTAAGATGAACTCTGAGATGCGTGGAGTAATTTCCTGGACTTGCAAAGCAGGAAAGGGAAGGTTTTCCTTCCTTATAAGCCTGGAGGTTTTGGTGTTTGGCCCTGTTGAGACCCAAGGGCTATCTGGGCTAATTAACATATATGTAATTAAAGTGCTTTAGCTAGAAAGGCAGAACCAGTTTTATTTGGCTCTGTACAACTGTGAATAATTTCTTTCTCTCTACATTATTTACCTTCTGTGTAAGTGTGTGTGTGGGAGGGGGTCTAGTTTCCCTGGACATCCTCCTGCTGCCTGTTCTGGCAGACAGCAAAGAGCAGACGAGCTTTGCCTAGCATTCACACTAGATTTTCGTTGCGTTCATATCACCATTTTTAAGCCACATTTTTCATCCCAGGGTAAGAAACACTGTAAATAATTGAGGTGATCCATCAAGAGACCCATTCTTGATAATGAAAAATCGCATAACTCAGTAGAAGTCAATTAAAAACCGCAAACTTCAGACCCCTTTGCTCAGTGAAAATTTATTTTTATAGGAGGCATTTAATACGATAGATTACGGGGGTCAAAACCGTTTAAAGTTCCAAAAATTCAGTTAGACCTTGACAATGAACATAAGATTTATATAGTATCAAAGTATATTAGTTCTTTGAAACAAAAAGGGTTGTTTTTTCATTCCTTTAACATGGAACGGTTTGAGATGTTCAGGATTTTATAACTGAATTAGAAATGAAATCCCACTGTGGGATACTTTATTCCTTTGAAGCTTTTAAATGTGTGTCGTACTCTTTGCTTGTCCCTATACAGTGAAAGTAGGTAGACTAGGAGAGAAGCAGGGCATTTCATCTGTTAAACCTAAGATCTGAATAATTAAGACTAGATAAATGACTCAAAATGTTTTTGTTGTCTGGTTGCTTTGTTAGGTCACAGCCAATACAATAGAATGTAATATCTTATACAAGTCTATATAATTAAAAAAAAAAATGGCAGTGTCTTTAGAGATATCCAAACTCTGCAAGTGTCCAAGGGAAAAATGCCAAGTCTCTAAAATGCAATGTCCATAACACTTTTCTTCCTTGTTAGTGGTTTTTCGTGCCCAAAATCTAAAATAAAGAGTGACATCTGTCTTCAAAAACAAAAATATTTAGCCATTTGTTTTAAGGTTCGTCACCTTCTACTATAAATTTAAACTGTACCTAACTGCTTAGGTAGGATTTGGCAGTCAGGCCTGGTGGATGCCTAACTCCAACCAACAGTATACATGTGACTTGCTTCCTACTGAAATTAAACTGCCAAGGAAAAAGAAGGAATTGTCCCCTTTATTTAATAACAAAGAACGCTATCGTTCGAATTCTTCAGATTTGGAATTCCAGCAGTGTTTTTCTGTTTTCTTCTTGATGTGTGACGAGAATGAATAATACCAAAAATAAAAATAAACCTCATCTAAACAAGCAGTCCTTTGACTTTATAAGGCTCAACATCAAATATATCAAATTCTAAAAATACCAAAGACCAGTGAAATGTCAAAGCTGGGGGGTAACATGCTGGGGATAGGACGGATTTTTAAGCCTTTCGATTTAATTGAACCTTCTAGCATTAACTTTGTTATGTTCATAGCTGCCACTTAAAGGGACTACTAAGGACCACGAGATTTCAAATTCATATAAATATTTGACTTTGACCTCATAAAATATCCCTTGGGTCTATAATACTTTTATTCCTGTATAATCTGAAACAAATCCTTTTCTTTTAAAAATCAAACAGACCATGTTACACACACAGTTGACTAACTATTTACAAAGCACCCAATTAAATCCTACTTAATTCTCTCTAACTCTAAAAATTCCATCTAACTGGTGTGCAAAGTACTGACCACATTCAATGCATGATGTTCACAGGCCCTGATGGTCCTATCCAACCTGGAAAATAATTAACTTTGTTAAAGAGAAAAGAAAATTTTAAAAAATAAGGGTTTTGAAGAAACGAGACCAGAAATCACAGTACAAGACAGATAAATCTACTTTAATATTCACATGTAAAAGTTACACATCACAAGAGATTGGACAGTAGGTTTAGCAGTAACTAACATAGCTATAGTGAAAATCATTTTTATAAAAAAATAATCTAGATGCGGTCATCAGAATTTTTGGTCTACTTAAGTTAATGTTTGAAGATCGACTTTTATCCCTGCTTGAAGGATTTGCCATTATGCCTTGTTTTTTTTTTTCTCCCACTGTTGCCTATTAATATTCTTTGGAGGAAGGAAAGCAGAAAGTGTTCATTTCCAAGAGTTTGTCCTTTGGTAGCAAGCAGAGAACATTTTTCATTTCTATGATTTAAATAATCTGTACAGACATGAAACGTAGTGACATTAAGCCTCAGTGTAAAATGAAGAATGATAAGCATTTTTTTTCACTTTGATAAAACAGTAGATTTCATAAACTCCTTAAGGATCCAAGCATTTCCCCATCCCATATGCAAAACCATTCAGAATCCATTTAGACCTCAGTTAAAAAACAAAAAAGCAGACACTTAACTCTTTATATATTACACTACCAAACCCTGTATAAAGTATATTTCCAACATGTATGCTTCAAATACAAGGATTTCAATCTAGGTTAAAGAAAACACATTTGAATGGACTCAGAACAAGTTTATTTTGTGATTAAGCATCTCATGCAGTCATGCAGGACCACTAGCTATAACGATTACTTCCGAGTCTACACAACACTGGATAAAACGAAAACAAATTAAAAGCTAGGCCAAACAGAAAAGACATTCAAGATATCGAGAGCTCTGTAATGGAGCTGAAAAATAATTTTCCAAAAGAAATATTCCCATAGATTAAAAAAAAACACACGCATAATATTTACAAAAAATATTTAATTAAAAATATCTTATAATTACAGTAGTCTATTAAAGCATATACTTTCTCACACTTATAGAACATCTCTATATATACATGGTATGAAATGTCACTCATCTATACAATATGTAACATTCTTGCAGGGAAAAGAAAGTTCCCTGCCCCGTTATAATCATCTATTTTAAACAATAGATGTAAAAAAAAATTTATCTACAATGCTCTTTTATATTAGTAAAGCTTCAAAACAAAAATTGAGCTCCTTGGTCACAAAGTAGGCATCTAAAGTTGATTTACTCTTGACTATTTATCAGTCCTGTCACACTTAAGCTTAAAAGTTTAACTGCATCTCCAAAAACACAGAAATGTACATTTCACAGCGGTTATAAATGAAGAAACAAAAGAGAATACATATGCAGAATGTTTATGAACGTGCAAAAAAAAAAAAAAAAGATGAAAGTTGTATTTTTCTCCCCCCACCCCTTGGAATGACGAATGAAACGTTTCTAGGATTTGCTGATTTTTTTTTTTTCCTCCTTTCCTCGGCTGGCTTTTTCTCTAACTTCTGCTCTTTCCCCCTCCCTTTCTAGTGCTCCTGGCTCGGGCTCAAGCGGCCGCACACCTGTGGAAGAGGAATGAATAGAGGGGGTGTGTGAACCTTCCCGCTGTAGACTAGCTGGCGCCACCGACCAAACTCAAGACATGCTTGATCAACAACCCAAAACAAACCACCAGGTCAGACAACACCCGCAGCCCGAGGCTGGCCAGGCGACCTGCAGGCAGCTGCTGGCCCCCGGGAAGCCCGGACTGGGGATCCACTCTCAGGCCCTACCCGCACCCCACTTTGTGGGTGTCAGACGGCGCGGGGGGGAGGGGGTTGCAGGTTGGCACATCGGGCAGTTTCCACGCCCACGAGGGTGCCCTCCCTCGGCGGGGAGGAAGGCTGTTAGAGCCGGCTGGTCATGGACGAGGCACGAGGGTGGCGTGGCGGGGACGACGGGGACAGGAGCTGGTGACACGTCTCCATTTAGAGTAAACCCCCAATTACTAAAAGCGAAGTACGGTGGCACGGAGAGGGGGTGTCCACCTCATTGGGGTCTGCCCTCAGAAATGCTTTGGGGCACAGAATACTGCGGTGCCTGGCACCGGAAGCCCCTGGGGACGGGCGTCTCTGGTGACCCGCCGCTGGGAGAAGGGAAACGCGCGCTCACCTGGACAGCGCGGCTCAGCGGCACAGAATGCTGTCGCCCTGCTTGTTCACCGCGCCGGCCTGGAACAGCAACGAAACACCAAGGCAAAGGTTAGCAGGCACAAGCGTCGCACTCGGCACGGTCCTGGATTCGTTCTTGAAAACCAGGCAGGCGCGCCGGCACCCCCACCCCAGCCTGCAGCCCTGGGGGACTCCCCCAACCCCACCCCAGGCGCAGGCTAGACTTGACAGCCCAGTCCCGCTGAGCCCCAGTCCCGCTCCGCGCGTTCCCCCGACCTGCGATCGCCGCGAGGAGCCCGCCGCTGCTGGCCCCGGGCGCCCGGAGGAAGGGGGGGGGTGCTGTCATTTCTCCGCCGCCCTTCCCGTTGGAAGGGGAGCGCCCGCGTCCGCCCCCCAGCCCGGCCGCCGCCCTCCCGGTCCCCCGCCGCGTCCGCCCGGGGCCAGCATCTGGCCTCTCACCGGGTCGGTGTTGAGCGCCGTGAGCGGGGTCCGCGGCGGCGCTGCGGGACAGGTCCCGGCTGGGTGGTGCGGTGGCGCCGGCGGTGGCGGCTGCCTCAGCAGAGCCGGGTGCGTCTCCAGCGCCAGCTGCAGGTCCAGGATGTAGTCGATAACGTGCTGCAGGATCTCCACTTTGCTGACTTTCTTGTTGGGCGGGATGGTGGGCACCAGCCTCCGCAGGCGGCTGTAGCAGTCGTTCATATCGCACTGCAGGCACAGCGCCGGCTCGTCGGCCGCCGCCTCCGCCGCCTTGCAGCGCGCTGCCGCCGCCGCGGCCGCCGCGGCCGCCGAGCCACCCAGGCTGTGGCCGTGCTCGGCCAGGCAGCGCAGAGCCAGCTCCCCACCGCCGCAGCCCGACGGCGCCTTGCGGCCCGAGGGGCGCACCGGGCTCACCGCCTTCATCGCGCGCGCCCTGCGCCCTGCGCGAGCGGATCCGCTGGGGCGAGCGAGGGAGGCAGGCAAGCTCCGGGCCCCAGCCCGCGGCCGGCTCCGCGCCCCTTGCCTTCGCGCCCGGCGCGCTCGGGCCGCGCTCGGGGCGCCGCGAAGCTCCCGGCGATCCCGCGCCCACGAACTGACGGCAGGGTCGCTCCGGGTTTTGCGAGGGGAATCTCTGTTCAGCGGGCGACACTCGGCCGGGACCAAAAGGCAAGAATAATCAAGAGCGGCGGAAGGAAAGCAGCCCACCGGGTTCCCTCGTCACTCCCTTCGGAGCTCCGACTACAGCCCGGCCGCTCCCGCCGCCGCCGCCACCGCCACCACCGCTGCGCTCCCCTACCCGGAGGTTCCCCCGCAGCCAGACCGACTCCAAGCGCGCCTGCTCTACGCTCTCGCCCCGCCAGCCGCGCAGCTGTATTTATGGAGCCGCGCGCCCCGGGGGCGGGGCCAGCACGCCGGCAGGGTCGCCGCGCGAGCCGAGCGGAGCCGGGCTGGGCGCGCGGGCGGGCGCGCGGAGGGAGGCGGCGAGGGCGGAGGCTCCGGGCGGCGCTGGGGGGCGGGGAGCCGGGCACCCCGAGCGGCCGGGTGGGCGGGGGGGTCGGGAGTGGCCAGCCAATCGGGCGGACGGTGCCACCTCAGGGAATGACGCTCGGGCCAATGGGAAGGACACTCCATTCCGTCGACGCTGTGGGTCGGGGTTCTGAGAAAAGAGAGCTGAGTGGGAGTCGGGCCAGGCTGGTGTGTGCCCTGGGGAGGGGGAAAGAGAGGGAGAAGTTCCTGCGAAGAACTGCGGGAATGTGCGGCTGGAATTCACTCTCCCCCGGCTTAGGCGGCTGAGGGAGCGCTGGGCCCTGCTCGAGGATCCCAGCGCGGCGACCAGGGACCCTCCGCCACCGGCCTCTCCAGCCCTGGGATTCCAGCGCCTTAAGAAGGACGCTGCGCAGGAAGGCACGTTCGTTCTCTTCTGTCTTTCCCTCTCCGTTTCATTATTCGCCTTTTCACAATCACCGAAACCATAATGATGAATGGAATGTGCAGCCGTTCCTTTTTTAAAAAGGTTAAAGCTTAGCCAAAACAAACAAACAAACAAACAAACAAAAAAAGAAAACAAAAACAAACAAAAAAACCCCCAAAGCAAACAAACAAAAAAGAGTGCTGAACGCAGATACTTGGTGAAGAGCCAAACGTCGTAGGGTTTTTCTTTGCACCCGTCTCGATGCACAAGTGGGCTCCAGAAAAATGCAGTTGCCTCAAAGCATTAAATGAGGGCACATAAATATTAAAAATGCATGGGCACGGAGTATTTAAAATTCCACCATGACATATAATATTAATCCGTTTTATGTAAAATTCATACCTGTAACTTAATGTGGGCCGTTAACGCACCGCCTCACGTGTTCGCGTACCCCGCTTTAAAGAAGATTCTGAGAACGTCTAGAGTCTCCTTTTCCAGCAAAGCATTAAAATTCACACTTCCAGTTCCCGGAGTCCTGCTTGGGCCACACCCTGCAGAAAAGTCTGTTAATTAAGGACGTTTCTGTGGTTTCTAATAGAAAAGCTGCCCTAGAAGGGTTCAAACAAAATTGCCCAATGAACTTTGATAGGACCCTGTGTGTACTCGTCAAGGAAAATTGAGTCCTTTGGTTGAGAAATGAGCATAAAGACTCTCTCGTCTCAAATTTTCATTTGTGTACGTGATATAGATTGGTGCCTTCATTTTTGTAGATCATTAAAAGAAAGAGATACGGACCTCTCCTCTGCCCAGTCTACTCTCTGCAAGGAAGCTCTCCCTCCCTGCCCAGCACTGACATATCTGCACGAGGCCGGTAGGTACTCTGTGTAGCCACGTGGGTATTTTATAACTATTGCACTGCTAGTTCCCCAGAGCACATTCCTTTTTCCTGATGAAATGAGGAGTAACTATTTAATGCTAGTTTCCCAGGAAGATGCAACAATGCTCCTCTCCGCTAATACTTACACATTACTGCCTCTAATGATTGTTTGGAAACGAGGGACAGTCTCACTTACCTACGTGCATACTTTGGTGGTCTATGTAGACACTTACCAAGAAAAGGGGAATTGTAAAACGTCAAAGAAGACTTTCTTCTAAATATAGACATAGTTTCATATATTCTTAAATTAGAATAGATAAACACAGAATATTTTCATTTTAGAGAGAAAGGTGGGTCAAGGAGCACTCAAGGGCATGAATCTACTCTGGCGGAGCTTGTCATTTCATCACAGAGGATAATCACAAGCAGAGATATGTACAGATGTTTCTGTTCCATTGATTTTTTTTTTTTCTTTGCTAGAGTTTAAAAGCTGCTCCAACATTTAAAACCTTAGATTTTTCTCTGGCGAAATTGAACTATGCTAATATAGCCGGGGCACGCTCATTTTAAAACTTTGCAGATCCCGAGTTGATTTACTTTAAAATGTAAGTTTTAAATACGCGACACCAAGAAACAAACCTATCCACCTCGTTGGACTTTGCTGAATCTCAGAGAGCCGTACCCTGGGCGTGACAAATGCCAAATACCAGTGTTTCAGGTTTTGTTGCAGTGGCTCCGTGTGACTGGCTCCAAGTCAGAAGAGCAGGGTTACTGTGGAGCCTACGTTCAAAGGAATGTACCCCGGCCACATGATCAAGAACACCCAGGAAAAATGTGATCCCCCAAATCCCACCAGCAGAATGGGCAGAGGCAGATACTATATTCCTTGTTTTGAAAGTTGAAAGATATTAATCGGTTAAAGGCTAGGAAAACATTGTGCGATGGAAATAAAGTATGGAATCCTGTGCTTTTTGGCCTCCGAAACCTGAGAGCTTAGGGGCTAAGCAATGGATGTTTTGATTCTTAGACAACAGTCACTTGCATGACGTCAAAGCTGAAGTCACAGACTCCCAGCACTGATTGTTCAAATTGGAGTTTACTCAGCAATGACTAGCTCTTGGGAAAACCTTGCAAACTACAGGATTTCTACCGGGACAGGGAAGGAAGCTTAGTTTCCCACGATTCTTCCTTTTACATCAAAATGCTTCGCTGGCACTTGTAAAAATAAGATGGGCTAGCTAGCCAAAAACCCTTTGCCATGAAAGTGCTAGAGGCTCCCAAAATGTTCCTCAGAGGGACCCTCGGATGAAATAGTCATAGGAAAATTGCTAGGGAGCCCTGGTGACCAGAGTCATGTGTACACCCTTCCTCCAGACAAAGAGTTCTGCAGCTCTTTCTTGGGATGCATTCTAGACGCTAATCAGAGCCTTGCTGAACTGCAACACCCAGGCTCTTAGAATTCACAATCACCCTGTGTTTACATGAAGCAAGGGTATCCAAGCATATTGTGCTATTCAGTCCAAATGCCTTTTTAGGACTTGATATTTCTTTCCCCACAGCTTGCAGGGAAGCGGTGGGTGGGCTCAGACACACAGATAAACAGGAGCGTTCCCATGCCTCCTTGGTGCCTCTCTAGATGTAAATGGTCACTGGAAGGAGGCATATGCATTCTTTCCAGGCTCAAGGAACCAGTATGTACCCTGCTGCAGGAGCGTCCCTTGCTCCGAAAGAGTGCATTGGGCAATGTGGCAGTTCATGCTCAAGGCTGCTCTATCCGGCACAGAGTGTTACAGAATTACTTGTGCTACCCTTGGCTTGCTGATACCAGTCCCGGAAGCACTGATAACCTTTTGATTTGCTTAGTCTTGGGAAAAGCCTTATAAGAAGGGGACATTATATATTGAACATAGCCAAGCAGACGTGGCCAGCAAAAATGCCTACTTCAGGAGTTTTGCAAGGTAGTCTGTTGAAATAAGAAGGAGCTGATGTGGAGAAGAAAGAGGTGTCGTTTCTTTTTATCTTAGGAGACATAAAGAGTATGGGCCTTTTTTTTTTTTTTTAAAGATTCGATTTATTTATTTGAGAGAGAGAGAGAACGAAAGAGAGAGAGAGGGAGTGAGAGTGAGTGCACAGGAGTAGGGTGAGGGGCAGCAGAAGAAGGGGAAGCAGACTCCCTGCTGAGCAGGAACACCACCCCCACCCCTGACCCAACACCGGGCTCAATCCCAGGATCCTGGGATCACGACCTGCGCTGAACGCAGATGCCCAACTGACTGAGCCACACATGTGCCCCGAGAATGTGGGCTTGAAAGTCAGAACACCTCTGTGGCTCAGTTGGTTAGGCGTCCAATTTTGGCTCAGGTTATGATCCCAGAATCCTGGGATCAAGCCCCATGTTGGCCTCCCAGCTCAGTAGGGAGTCTGCTGCTTCTTCTCCCGCTGCCCCTCCCCCTGCTCATGTTCTTTCTCTCTTCCTCACTCTCTCTAGTAAATAAATAATTTTTTTTTTTTTTTAAGTCAGAATGTCTGGGCTCCAATTTTGGCTCCTTAGTTTAGTAGTTTTATGTCATTAAACTGGATGTTTAAATTCCTGTGCCTTTCTTATATGAAATGAGGATAAAAATTGTATCTGCTTTATAATGTGTTTGTACATATAAAATTCTTAGAACAGTATCTGGCACTTAATGCGTGTTAAAATTTATTATTATTTTTGGCAAATATTATTTCTCAGTCTGCGGATTGTCTTCTCGTTCACTTAACCATCTATGAGAGCACAAGTTTTTAATTTTGATGATGTTCATTTTATCAATTTGTTCTTTAATGGAGCGTGCTTTTGGTATCGTATCTAAGAAATCTTTGCATAAGCCAAGGAAACAAGGGTTTTCTCCTATGTTTTCTTCTAGATGTTTTGTAATTTTTAGACCGGGTTGGTTTTATGGGGACACAACTTATGCAGCCACATAGGGTCCCAAGCTTAGAAGGATCTCATTGGTTTCATGCTCTGATGTTACCATCTTGAAAATCTCAGTAATTTTTGAACAAGGGGCCCCGTGTTTTCATTTGCACCGGAGGCACAAATTATGTAGCCAATGCTGGCTTTAGGTTTTAGGTTTAGGTCTGTGATCCATTTTGTGGTTATTTTTGTATGTGATTCAAGTTATGAACTGAAGTTTCTATTTTTGCTTATGTGTCTCCCATAGTTCCATCACCCTCTGTTGAAACTTCTGTCCTTTTTCCTGGCTTTGCAC